CGAAAAGATCAACAACAGTGCGAAATAAGTTTCGAGTTTCGATCGGTAACGGTGTTCCAAGTCGTTTCTCTAAATAGAAAATGATCAAAACTGGATTCCGCGCCGGTTTAATCTCTCGAACTGGGGTGGATTTTTAAAAAATCTTATCTCAACCGACGGAGATAACATTAGTACCAAGTTCAGAAGCGCGATTTTTTGCGCTCTTTTAACTCGTCGTGTAAAAATTTATTATTTAGTAGTATTTTAAAATTTCCCAATGGCGGACTGTTATAGATTAAACATTTTTTTCGATGATCCAATCGAAATCGAGGGCGATTAAAATTATTACAATCAGGTAATTCATTTTTAAATTTAAGTATTTATTAACTCCATCTGTGAGTAAGGTTGCGAATTATTTTTTATTTATATATAGATATTTTTTTAATTAATTTATGAGTAGGGAAAGGAAAGTTAGATTTTACGAAACGAATTTAAGACCGAAAACCGGCGGAGCGTGAAAAGTTCATAAATTCCAAAACGATACGGATCTAGAAAACGATTTTTTATTAAAACATTAATTTTATTTTAGCCATTTTTTTATCTTGGACGCCGCGCTTCGTTTTATTGAGACTCGCCGATAAAATGTAATCTAATCTCGACGAAAAAAATTCATCCAATCAGAAATACGATCCCGCCTGGTAACACAAAAAAATACTCAAAACTTAATAAGATACATTATATTGTATACTATATCATAACTTCTATATTTATAAAAATAAATTTATGTCTTAAATTGAAGCTGAAGATGTCTTCTTTCGAAATCTGTATGGTGTTTATAATAAAAAAGGTTTGAGAAAAACGTTAATTGCGGTTATTAGATAATTTTATTCAATTGAAAAATAGTTAATTTTCAAAAAATCATAACTTTGTTATTTCTGAAAATGAGGAAATGATTTATGGCTCAAGTTGAAGCTGAGGATGTACTCTTTCGAAATGTGTATAACATTTAAAAAGTTTATATAAAAAAGTTTTGAGACAAAAATTAATTACCCTTATTACATAATTAAATTCGATTGAAAAATAATTAATTTTCAAACAATCATAACTTCGTTATTTATGAAAATGTAGAAATGATTTATGGCTCAAGTTGAAGCTGAAGATGTCCTCTTTGGAAATCTGTATGGTGTTTCAAAAGTTTATATAAAAAAGTTTTGAGAAAAAAGTTAATTACTGCTATTAGATAATTTCATTCGATTGAAAAATAGTTATTTTTCAAAAAATCACAACTTCGTTATTTATGAAAATGAAGAAATGATTTATGGCTCAAGTTGAAGCTGAAGATGTCCTCTTTCGAAATCTGTATGGCGTTTAAAAAGTTTATATAAAAAAATTTTGAGAAAAACATTAATTACGTTTATTAGATAATTTTATTCGATTGAAAAATAATTAATTTTCAAAAANAGAAAAAAATTAATTTCTTTTACTAGATAATTTAACTCAATTGAACAATAGTTAATTTTAAAAAAATCATAACTTCTTTATTTATGAAAGTGGAGAGTCGATTTATGTTTCAAATTAAAGCTGAAGATGTCTACTTTCGAAATATGTGTAGCATTTAAAAATTTTATATAAAAAAAATTTGAGAAAAAAATTAATTACTTTTATTGGATAACTAAATTCAATTAAAAAATAGGTCATTTTCAAGAAATCATAACTTCTGTACTTATGATAATGAAGTATCGATTTATGTCTCAAATTAAAGCTGAAGATGTCTTCTTTCGAAACCTGTATAACATTTAAAAATTTTATATAAAAAAGTTTTGAGAAAAAAATTAATTTCTTTTTACTAGATAATTTAACGCAATTGAAAAGTAATTAATTAAAAAAAACTCATAACTTCTTTATTTATGAAAGTGGAGAGTCGATTTATGTCTCAAATTAAAGCTGAAGATGTCTAGTTTCGAAATCTGTGTAGCATTTAAAAGTTTTATATAAAAAAGTTTTGAGAAAAAAATTTATTTCTTTTACTAGATAATTTAACGCAATTTAAAAGTAGTTAATTAAAAAAACTCATAACTTCTTTATTTATGAAAGTGGAGAGTTGATTTATGTCTCAAATTAAAGCTGAAGATGTCTAGTATCGAAATCTGTGTAGCANAAATTAAAGCTGAAGATGTCCTCTTTCGAAATCTGTATAGCATTTAACAATTTTATATAAAAAAGTTTTGAGAAAAAAATTAATTACTTTTATAAAATAATTTAGTTTCAATGAAAAATAGTAAATTTTCAAAAAGTCATAACTTCTTTATTTTTGAAAATAAAGAAATGAGTTTTGTCTCAAATTAAAGCTGAAGATGTCCTCTTCCGAAATCTGTTTAGCATTTAAAAATTTTATATAAAACAGTTTTGAGAAAAAATCTAATAACTTTTTATTAGATGATTTAATTCCATTGAAAAATATAAATTTTCAAAAAATCATAACTTCTTTATTTTTGAAAATAAAGAAATGAGTTTTGTCTGAAATTAAAGCTGAAGATGTCCTCTTTCGAAAATTATATTGCATTTAAATTTTTATATAAAAAAGTTTTGAGAAAAAAACCAATAACTTTTATTAGATAATTTAATGGGATTGAAAAATAGTTAATTTTCAAAAAGCCATAACTTCTTTATTTTTGAAAATAAAGTAATGATTTATGTCTCAAATTAAAGCTGAAGATGTCCTCTTCCGAAATCTGTTTAGCATTTAAAAATTTTATATAAAAAAGTTTTGAGAAAAAAATCTAATAACTTTTTATTAGATAACTTCTTTATTTTTGAAAATAAGAAAATGATTTATGATTAAAATTAAAGTTGAAGATTTCCTCTTTCGAAATTTAAAGATTTCAATTTTATTTAGATATTTTATATGAAAAAGTTTTAAGAAAACACTTAATAATTTTTATTAAATATCTAAAGATCGATTAAAAACTTACTTCTTAATCGGATTAATAAGACATGTACATGTTTTGCGATCGAAAATTCCGATTCATATTTCGAGACGATACAACCGCTCTTTGAGACGAACGGGAACGAACTAAAAGCTCCGCGACCGTTATAACCCTTATATCTGAGCGAGCTTTTTCCAACCCCTTTCTGGTAAAGGTGGCGCCATCTAAATTTGAGGGGTTATATTACACGGTCATTATTATTATTATTAAAAGATTTATTTCACCTAAAAAAGAAAAAAAAATGATTTCGTGTAAAGAGAGGCCAATTAAAACGTAGTTACTCGGTCGAAACCCTCCTTGAATTTCAAATTAGCACCTGACGTAAGTTGGTACATGTATGGTTGGTGGGTAAGTCATGTTGAAAATACGATACTATCAGATGGTAAAAATCTGCATTTTAAGGTGAGGGGAAAAGGAATTGGAAAACGAGTAGGAAAGGGGGAGCTTTTATTTATGACCACCTTTGAACCACAACCGGCTATCAGTTCAGTTTCTTCGTTTCTCCGCGATTTTTTATCCACCATGTACTTAGATATGCTCGGATGATATCGCAAAAAGGGGGTAAAACGAGAACGTTTTAACCTAATGGGGAATTTCCGGTTCGTTTTGGCGATTGCAATTTTTTGGGAACAGATGTTTCCGAAAAAATTTCACCCACCCACCCATTATTATAAAAAATTCACAACTCCACCCCTTTACCAGTTTTCAAACCCGCTCATTATCGACACGGATGTCTCACATGTTCTCAAAACTCTCTCAAAGTCGCCTTTTAAACTCGGAGCTTTTAAATATTTAAGAAAAATTGTCCCTTATTGTACCATACCTTCACTTCTAACTCCACCACCATTATCATATCGTGGAGACGTTTTTAATAAATAATTGATGAGCTAGAATAAGAGCCACATGTTGGGTTTCTGCGGTTCGAAAAGTGGATTTGAAAGAAAAAAAAAGTTGAAATAATACAAGGGGGTGGAAACCCCTTAATAAAGGGGGCGGGGTTATCCCCCTCCGTTTTTTTATTTTAGATTTGAAAAAATTTTTGGGGGGGGGAAAAAATTTTTTATTTGATCGTCGTAAGGGTGGTGGTAGGGGAATGTCTAAGAAGGAGTGGTGGTGGAAGCGAGTGGTGGTGGGTCGTTCGTGGAGGGGGTTCGAAGAACCCTCCGAAAAAAACCCCCATCCTCTTTTTCTTTTTCCCCGTCGTCGTCGCGGTCCTCGGAAAATCGTAAGAGGTGGGGATGGACGTCGGAGAATCGCGCAGGCGCCCCTCCCTCGAAGACGCCGTCTAAGGCTCCCCTAGAAATTCTCTCCTCCTTCTTCTTCTTCTCGTTCCTCTCGCTTTGGCGTCGCGGCTGTTTGCAGGGCGTCCTCTTTTCGCATAGTCGGAGGGTCGTAAGGGCGTCTCCGTCTGTGTAGAACGCCCCGCGTCCCCCCCGGCGTCTCCGACGCGCCGGGCCGATCTTAGTTGGCGTCGGCGGCGGCCCGCGACGCCCGGCGACGACGTCGTGAGGCGACCGACGCCGTCTTCCGCGGCCTCCTACGACGCCCGCTTTTCTTAGTTATCAACGGCTGTTCTTGGCGTCAGGACGCCCCCTCCGCACGACATCCGAGTTCTTCTTCTCCCCGAGAAAGAGAGATAGAGATAAACACACTTAATACACATCGTTATATCCGGTTAAGTTCTCCGCGACATTTTTTTTCAACGAATTAAATCCGCGATTAAATTTCGATTCACCCCGAAATAGTGAAGTGCGCGAAAATTAAAAATAAAATTAAAATAAAATTAAATTAAATTAAATAAAATTAAATTTGGTGGTTTTAGGACGATTTTTTAAAACAATTAAAATCCGAGTGAGTAATTTTGAATTTAGAAATTTTCTTAACACGTGCAACACCGACTCAGATAGTCCGGCGATCAAATCAAATTTTATCTAAAAAATAATTCCCGATGTAATAATAGATTAGATCAAATAGTTAACTGGATCTTGCCAGTTTCAAACAATTTAATAATTCTAAATCAAAAATTGTTTGCAGAACGATCCTCAAATACAAAGAGAATCACCAACAAGACCCGAATACAAAATAAACCGAATAAAAAAGAAAAAATTCACAATCTAACCATAAAGATAAAAGACGTCGGGGCGATTTCGCCGAATTCGCCAAACGATTTCCTTCTTCGCTTTCGCGCACCAGAAGCCTGCAACCACGGACGATCAACATTTGTTGAACAACCTGAAGGTCGAACATGAAAACTTAGTGGCCAAGTGGCTGCAAAGTTCGTTTAAGGTCCAGGAATCAGCAGCAGCCCTGGATCTCCGCGCGGCCCCCCTCAGCCTCCAAATACCCATGGCCGAGGTCAATAACAGGCCCGTTTTTAAAATGAACAACGACTTTTGGAACCAGCCGAGAGGCCCTCCGCAGAGTATAGCTCAAAACCTATCAAATTCTAACCAAAATAGTCCAGTTCCCGGTTCGAATAATTCGGTGCCGTCGCATTCCCCATCGCAACAAAGCAACAGCAGCCAAAATCATGTAATCACCCAAGGCGCTTTGGCCCTACAACAAGCTCACGCGCAAGTACAACAAAACCAACCCGGTCAACAGCAACAACAACAACAACAGCAGCAACAACAACCCGGGATGCAACAAGATACGTTCAAAGATACGTTCAAAGACACGTTCAAAGACACGTTCAAAGACACCTTCAAAGACACCTTTAAAGACACCTTCAAAGACTCGATCCAGCAAAAATTGCTGCAACAACAACAACAAAATCAGCAACAACAACCGGGGCAAAACCAACACAACCAAAGTCCCGTTCCGCAAAACCCCATGGTTCAACAGCAACAAAATCAAGGACCCAACTCGATTCAAAACCAACAAATCGGGAGTCCCACTCAACAGCAGCAACAACAAATTGTGCAACAACAACAAGCTCACGTTCACGCTTTGGCGCAAGTTGCTCAACACTCGCTGGTGCAGATGTCTCAACAGCAAGGGTTACCCAGTGGGCAAAATTCGCCGGATAAAATGACGGAGAAGTTCGTGAATGATTTGCAGGTAAGGTGCTAAATTTGCTATTTTTAAATTAATTTTGTTTAGAAAAAATCAAACCAACCTAAATCTTATTTTTTTGATTCATTTTTTACGGGTATTCAATAATTAAATTTTGAATTTGAAAATATAATATATGGTTAAATTTTAAAATAATCATAACTTTAATATTTGTGAATAATTTCACTTTCACGAATTATTTAAAAGTTTTGTATAAAAAAGTTTAATAACATTAAAAACTTTTTTATTTGTGAAAATTAAAGTTCGATTTATATTGAAAATTAAAGCTTAGGATGTGTTCTTTCGAGATGTATATAACGTTTAAAAATTTTGTATAAAAAAGTTTTGAGATAAAATGTTATAAATGTTAATTACTTTATCTAAAAAGATTGAGAAATAGATGATTTTCAAAAAATCATAACTTCGATATTTATGAAAATAAAGAAATGATTTATGTTTTAAATTAAAGCTTAGAATCTGTTCTTTCGAAATATGTGTAACACGTAAAAAAGTTATATAAAAAAATTTTGAGAAAAAAGGTAATAAGTATCATGATGTTTTTTACTTAACCTAAAAACGATTTAAAAATAGTTAATTTAAAAACATCACAACTTCTTTATTTATAAAAATAAAGATACAATTTATGTCTCAAATTAAAGCTTATAATCTCTTCTTTCGAAACGTATATACTGATTAAAAATTTTATATAAAAAAATTTTGAGAAAAACATTAATAATTACAATGATGTTTATTAGTTA